GAACCGCTTGTATGTGAAAATGTTTTGGTGTTTTGCTCTGTTTCTAATAAAAAGTCTCCATTCAACTCCCCGCTTTCTAACAGGCTGACGGGAGCTTGGGGCCTGCTGGAAAATAGCAGAGGTGAAGGCAACCCACGGCTCCAAGGGCGAAACAGCTTGTCTTGGACCGAAGTGGATGGGACAGGGAGAAGTGAGAACGCCATAAACTAGGGTTCAGCTCCTCTTCTGCTCACCTGAGTGCTCAAATTAACTCCAACCTCAGTGTTTACCACCACGTTAGCGCAGCATTAACAGCACTAGTACCTACCCCTTAACAGCATTTAGGGAAGCATCGCCAGCAGGTTTCAAAGCACTGGAGGGGGCTAGCGGCCGTAACCCACACGCTACAAAGCCATACAGCATCTCTCCTGTATGACCTATGGGGAAAGCAGTGCCAAAGATCACAGGGCATGTTGTTGCACAGTTGCGTGCTTACGTAACCCCTTTGCATGAAATATCTGTCCATCTTTCCAGTTTGCTTGACCACTTGTCCCTATTTTGTCTTCCTCTGTTAGGAGGATATGGCAGAGGCCCCAGGATCTCAGTTCCCCTTGCGCACTGCAGTCTGTGGGGTGAATCTGGATGGTTTCTCAGCAAGGAAGCAGTCCCCTAAGCGTGTCCCCGTGCTTGTCTATCATGCTGCACACGCAGGGAGCTCACTTCTGTTTTCATGACTTAGGCTGGCTGGGGAAGTTTTGATTTTTACTAAAAAAACACACAATGACCCCGCACTGCCAGATCCGGTTGAATTCAGCCAGCCAACGATGGGCAACTCGGGCATCACATTTAATTAACTTCCGTGCCCGCCAGCACCTTCCTAGGGGGCAGTTGGTGTGCGGCCTGCCTGGCATTTTACAGGCCAAGCGCTTTGTGGAGCGAGGCACGGCCCGAACCCCTTCCCTCCCCCAGGAGCCAGTGTCATGTCTGCACTTTTGTCTCCAAACATTTGTTTCTGGTCACTTTGCTCAAAGCCCTTCAGCCCAGGCCCAGGATCACCCGCCTCCGGCGCCCTCGCCCTGCCGCCGCCTCTGCGGCTTGGGGGGGGTTTTCCCACTCCCCCCCCCATCTTT